CTAAGTACACAATACTATAATCGAATAAAATATTTACAATATTGTCAAATGTCATAATGGCGTCGATAAAGCGGCGTCAGTTTAACCTTTTATTATTAGATTGGCTGATGGAGAGCTATTGTATCACAGAGCTATCTATGCAAACAAGGCTGTAGTTTTTGAGTTATAAGAAAGTGACCATATTAACCGGATGACCATATTACCCTCATATACTATATTATATATACATAGTAATATAATATACTTACATATACTCAACAAAGACATAGAATAGTAAAAAATAAATTGGTAGTATAAAAATGAGTTCACTTTGAAATTTTTATCTCGGAGTGGACCGTAGACCAATTTCAACCGACTTCAAAAAGTAGGAGAGATTTATAATTCGTAGGAATCTTTTTTTATGTAACCTATTTGGAAAATTCTTTATTTGTTTCAAAGGGTATACATCCCAGGTGTTACCATTTGAATTTTATCGAAATCGGTCGAGCAGTTTTAAAAAAAAATCTTCAATAAATTATTTATAATAATTTTTAATTTTATCACTTTTTACTGGAAACGAGACATTCTATCTATATCCTCAGGTGTAGTAATGCATCTGAATTTTATTTTTAATCGAACATTAGGAGCATAGATGTAGTAGATTTTATGCGTGTTGGAGACATGCTGCCGCTATATTATAGTTGTAGCACGTAATGGTCGGCTCGATTGGGGTAGGGCCACGCTCTCACAGAATACCGGCATAAAATACAGTACGTGAGAGTAATATGGTCACATTAAGTTTTGCCGCCAAATAAAATTAAAACTAGATAGAGAACAGAAACAAAAACACAAAGTCGAATACTATAAAGTTATATATTAAGAAAAAAAATAGCAAAGACACTTTGACAATAATTAAGAACACTTCGAAAAATCAAACTTAAAAAACTAGCTACACTACACAATACTAAAATTGACTAAAATGTTTACTATAATGTCAACTGTCAAAATGTTGATGATAAAGCAACGGCCTTTTGACGTTTTGTTATTAGATTGACTGATGAAGAGCTATCGTATACAAACAAGGTTGTTTTGGAGTTGTAAGACAGTGACCATATTACCCTTACGTACTATAGTTAGTTAATGATTTGTTTCGTTTGGTAAGTGTAGAAACCTTTACGAGTGTACTAAACACAACGCATCAGCATTTTGATTCTTAATCGAGAACAGATGTAGATGTCTATTGGCCACAACATACACTCACCATCAGGTGGACTGTTCTCATTTGTCACTTAAATTTACCAATTAGAGAGCGTGGACTCCTCCCAGGGTGTGACTACTATTAATAATAGATTTCCAAACTCGAGCACAGTCGCAGAAACATTCTTAATATTTCACAGGATATATTTTGGAAAGCGTGTGCAGGATATTCGACTTAATTGCTACCTCATCTTTCAACCATCGAACAACGAGATACTTTGCGAGTTTTCACTCCTTCCTTGTTAATATTCCATGCAATCCGTGCTGACGGTTTGCTTTAGTCGTTTGCACGACAAAGAATGGGAATAGTTTCCAAGCATCAGTCTTCCTTGAGTGCGATGTGGATGACTTCAAGGCAACCGTAAATAGGCTTTTTTACCATCAGTTTGAATAATAGTGTAACACAAACTTATAAGTGCCGTATAAACCCAGGCGCTTAACGCTAACCGTTACGTTTTGAATTACCACGTGCTCGGCGGTGAAGGAAAACGTCTTGAGAGAGACCACCCCCCTAAGGAATAAACTATTAAATCAAAGTCATATGAAATCCGCCAACAGGTCCTGAAACAGCGCGGCGGAATAATAAAACCTTCTCAAAAATGAAAGGAAGCCTCTGTCTAAGTGAGGGACGTGTGTAGGCTACAATTTAACTTAACAGTATTACCTTCTTTATATACAGGTTTATTTTTTAAAGAGTAGATAAATTTTAAACTTAAGTTCAAATATATAAATACTAATATACCATTATTGCAGTTTTTGAAAATACGAATAAATAAGGCTTCTACTTTTATTTAAAATTATCCCAAATTGAATGTGATTTATGGGCAACAACGTTTTTGCCTACCGATGGACCGTTACGTATGTGTGCGTGCGCAGTAAAATCAGTTGAAATAATGCATTACCACGCATTTTCATTTTAAAAGATAAAAAGGTCAAAATGTTTGAGATTTTTTTTTACTTAATTTTTCTTCACCGTTTGCCTATATTACTTATTCTGAAACTTCTCTGCAAATTTGGCCGGTTATTGCAAAATAAGTACTAATACCTCTGTACTTGCGTTTCTCACTGAACTTCTCTTAAACGGCTGCACCGATTTTGAATGTTTGTGTATATAAGCCATCCAGGCACCCACTCAAACGGGTCCCTGGATGGTTTATATTTACAATTGGACCCACTAGATGGCACTGTTTCACACAAAATAACAATTCTGCTGGTAACTAATAAAAATGTGGGTATAGTTTGCGCTTTCAGAGATTGAAATCACAAAGTTAACATTAATTTCATTACCGAGGGAACGTGAAATGAGTGGTACTTTAACAGAGTTAGTTTTGTTAGTAGAAGTTAATATAGCTTTACTAAGCTCGACATTTACAACACGTTGACTTGTAGTATAATGCTTTTTGACCGAGTTCAAAAACTCCTTGTTTCTGAACTCGGTTCTATATTCGACGCGTATGTTTTTTTTATGTTATCGTTACCGTTAGAGCCTATTAAAGTCCACTGCTGAACATAGGCCTCCCCTTTAGCTAGCCTCGTAAAGGGATATTGGTTGTGGTTGTAATGTTACTGTTGATTTGAAAATATCACCTCTCAGTGGGTCATGTGCTCCTGGTAGATTATCTTCTATACATCCATCCATTACAGCCTATTAAAGCTGAACATAGGCATCCCTTATAGACTGCCCCATAGAGGGGATATTAGCATTAGTTGTAATGACTGTTGATTTGAAAATTTCACCTCTCAGTGGATCATGTGCTCCTGGTAGATTATCTTCTATACATCCATGCATTACATCGTCTTAAAGACCACTGCTGAACATAGGCCTCCCCATAGATTGCCTCATAGAGGGGATAGTTGCCATAGTTGTAATGTTACTATTGATTTGAAAATTTCACCTCTCAGTGAGTCATGTGCTCTTGGTAGATTATCTCTACAACGGTATAAGTAAAGTCGGTTTTAGCTTTAAAAAAATTTGTTATTTAAATGACACCTCTGTTTGATAAATTACAACGCTATAATTAATATATTCGCTAAATATCCAGCCTCCCTTAACGCGTAAGCTCTTTAGAATCCATCTCATCTTGGCGGAATTATTACATAATATTTATGTTTAACTCCGGAACCGTAGCGGGCTTTGCCGAACCATCACAGGGGATGTAATTTTAAATATAAGCTAAGAAGCCGGTTCAAGAGAGCTTTGTAGTTATTTATCGACATTATTGTAACAAAATATCCACCGTTTGATACCTTTGTTGATGTTAAAATATAAAATAAATCTATCCATTACAGCCTTAATAATTCAATGCTAAACATAGGCCCATAGATTGATTCATAGGTAGGATTTTGTTATCAGGAAGATGCTGCTGCCCATCTTCTGCATCAGTTTCCGTTTATCTCTTTTTACGACACTTTTTATTTGTATTGTACGTGGCAGAGCCACGCTGCAGCTATACAGGGTTAACTTAAGTTTAATTATAGAAATATTTTTTTTATAGAAGAGGGGGCAAACGAGCATGCGGCTCACCTGATGGTAGTTGACTACCGCCACCCATGAACAACTGCAACACCAGGCGAATTGCAGTTGCGCTGCCGGCCTTTTAAAAAGGAGTAGGGTCTTTTCATGAAGGTGCCTAAGTCGTATCGGTCCGAAAAAATCGCTGGTGATAATCGATTTAACAAGGAAGTTGTGCGAGGACGAAATAAATATAATGATATTCCGCTTTTGAAATTTTTGAAAATACGAGTAAATAAGGCTTCTACATTTATTTTAAATTATCCCAATTTTTATGTGATTTATGGGCAACAATATTTTTGCCTACCGATCGACCCTTACGAATGTGTGCGTGCGCAGTAAAATCAGTTAAAATAATGCATTACCAGGCGTTTTGATTTTAAAACATAAAAAGGACAGAATGGTTGAGATTTTTTATTTAATTTTTCTTCACCATTTGCCTATATTACTTATTCTAAGCCTTCTCTACAAAAATAAGCCGGTTATTGTAAAATAACCGTTTATTGTGGTTGCAGCACGAATGGTTCAGCTCGACCGGGGTATGTGTGTCGCTGTGTTTCGTATGGTGAGTGTAGAGAACCGGAGACCATTTTACCGGAACCGAGACATTCCGTCTAAGTCCTCAGGGGTGACAACGCATCTGCGTTTTGATTCTTAATTGTGGGTAAATATTAACGTTTATTCACCACAGCATCCACTCCGGACACACATCAGGTGGACTGTGTGCTCGTTTGTCACCCTTATTCTAGAAAAAAGTCTGACCGAGTTTTTGAAAACGGCTCTAACGATTTTCGAAAATGCAAAAATACATATTTTGTAACACAAATGCCCATCTCTTATTTCGGTTACCTTCTGTCGCCGCTTACGGGACTTTTTTTAGTTCTTTTTTTTTACAAAACGTTACTCCCACACTATGATTTTCTCCTGTATCGTGGATACAGTTTACAAACATAAATTGCATAAGGACAAACATCCAGACCCGGAACAATTACTTGTAGGCCATACAAATACTTGTTCCGTGCGGGATTCGAACCCGCAACCCCCAGCGCTGGAGCTCATTGCTAAGCCACTGCGCCACTGAGCCGTCCAAAGGCTCACGGAACGATATTCTATTTTGCAACATATTCTACTTGAAGGTTTATAGTGTGAAAGTCCTTCAAAGTCGCACGCATTTCTTAATAAAACGATAGTGATGAATTTAGTATACCTTCGGAAAACGTTTACTAACATTAAAGTGTATCCTTGGTTCCAGGTGTCCGCATGGGTGACGGAGCTGGTGCTGACGTCCACTCCGGAGGATAGAAAGGCCACATTGGCATGTATCCTGAGGATCGCGCTAACATGTTGGAATATAGGCAACTTTAACGGCGCCATGGAGATTGTAGCTGGACTCAAGTAAGTTCATAGAATCTATATAAATAAATATACACACGCGCGCGCGCGTACACGGACACACAGATCAGAGAGAGAGAGAGAGAGAGAGAGAAGCACTGTTTTTAATTTTTCATTCTAAAATAGTATGTTTTTGTGGCTCAAACTTATTGATGCCAATTCGATTATTATAAGTTAAAAATTGTATAAAGTAGATCCGTTATTGGCTGTAAGTTTATTTCTTAAGTTCATTTACATTGCAATTAGTGCTGTGAATCTTGTAATAAATAAATAAATAAATAAATAGAATGATAGAGGTTTACAGTTGCGCGCGCATCACGAAAAAACTACTGGATAGATTTTAATTAAATTTTATTAGTTTTATTTCATAGACACTTTGGCCGTTATCTAAAAAAAATATTGCGAAAATGTCTTCATTTAATATAAAGTTATTAAAGTTTTAAGAAACAATGATTTTTATACGGGGTTTATCACGCGGTCAACTGTACGTCGCTTGTTCTTGCGTTACTAATCTAGATAATTTATATACTGTAGCTACAAACGAAGCAACGAATACCAGTGTAAAATAGCAGCTTAATGCTGCTGTGTTTCGTATGGTGAGTGTAGAAAACCGGATACCCTTTTTACTGGACACAAGGCATTCTATGTTAGTCTTCACGGCTGACAACGCGACTGCATTTTAATTCGCAAACGAAGATGATGTAGATGTCTATGGGCCACAGCAAACACTTACCATCAGGTGGACTGTGTGTTCGTTTGTCATCCTTATTCTATAAAAACGAATAATATTGTTTACAAAGAAAGTCTCTTTTTGATCTTTTTTCGTTCGCACATACAAAAACTTTGTTAATATATCAAGCAACGCGGACGAAGTCGCGGGTATGAGTTAGTTATTAATAAATTAGTTAATAGAAGCGACAGTGGACTAAGGGTGCGGATAGCGAATTCGAAATGTAGTGGGTTCGAATCTGCCATTTGACTACGGACGTAATCCACTCCTAACACAAGCAATTCAAGCTCACCATCAGCATCCACTTGCCATGTTTGAACTGTGCTTGTTTGATACTATTATACCATAAAAAAACCACCTACTTATCAATAATGATGACATAATTTCATTTCATTTGAGGACATACAAAAAACAAATGAACTCCAAAAAAACTTAAAGCAAAATTATTTAAAAATATCTCATAGAATTAGAAAGAAAACAAACCGAAAGCATCCTGCTCAATTTTCTATTACCCGATAATTTCCGAGTAGAATTTTCGATAATGAGTTCTAAGACGAAACCCATCCTCCGTAATTGCAGCTTGGACGGATTTAAGTTTGTTCAGATTTTAAATACCTACCTAATAACATTTCGTGTTTCATTAAAGACTGTTTTATATATAGAAAGGTGCATTTACATAATTAAACTTTAAAAAACATTATACATTTACATTAACAAAAAAAATTAAAAACAATAAAATTGTATGGAAATTGTAGATATGATTAGTTTTAGTTTTTTAGAAAATAATTATCCAATAAACCGTGTAGTGGCGGTGTAAGAATATCCAGTATCCCATAACGTCCCATGGGTGTCGTGAGAGGCGACAGAGGGATACTGAATCAGTAGATAGGCAGCGGTATCTTCCTGATAAGAATTCAAGCTTATAATAATAATACTTTAAAATAAAAATGTTTGTACAGCCGACTTCAATATAAGTTATTAAGAATAACTCAAAAACTATTGGTCTGACCTTGATCAAATTCACATGGGACGATACGAGAGCTACCAGCTTTCAAATAAAAAAAGAATCATCGAAATCGGTTTACCTAGTAAAAAGTTATGAGGTAACACAAAAAAAGCATACAGTCGAATTGAGTACCGTCTCCTTTTTGAAGCCGGTAGAAAAAGTGTTAGTTTATAGTATCAAAATAAGTATGTGTAAGTGGCTCCATCTATAACTGTATTGTCATCTTTTTCTCAAATATTTTTAGTCTGTGGCAAGCACACAACCGCGTTTTATTAGGAGTTTTGGCGGGAATTTGACCGGCGGCGGTTTGCTGCTCCTGATTTATTGTTTAAATAATGGTTTGAAGTGGACTTTGATATGTAAAAGTGGTGTGATTTGTGTATTAAGTGTCTGCGCGTGTGAACTATTAGTGGAAACTGTGAAACAAGTGCTCTGATAGTGATGTGATTCTCAAGATAAGGTGCCTATCTGCTTAGGCGCCTTGAGATACCATCGCCAACCGTCAGCTGTCTGCTAGCTCAAGTTACCGTCAAAATCTCCCAAGGGCTGCACAATGTGACGCATCAACATATTGTAAAGCAGTATACTATGAAGAATAATTATTATAATATAATATTGTAACTTCAGGCTCAGAAGGGCTAGATCCCAGAGCCGTAAAGCCAATTATTAAGAAGAAGAAGAAGCGCGTTTTGTTCTGTTATGGGCCTACGGGACACATAAAAAAAACGTACAGTCGAATTGAGTAAGTACCCCGTCTCCTTTTTGAATTCGATAGAAAACAGTTAACGTATAACCCACGTCAATGTCCACTTAGTAATTTTATATGGCCCCATGTTCAACACAATTTTGCGCTATTTGGGAAGAGTAGGAAATAGGCGCTGTCAGTGACTCTTTATTATCATTCTTCTGAACTTTGCAGAAGATTAGACATATAATAAACTCTCTAGAAAGGCACTAAGTAAAGTCGGTTTCAGACCAATATCACTTAGTAACTACCGGCGACAGTTCCACGAAGTGGTCGTGTTTATCAAAATTACTTTTTATTAGGCCGGTCTCCAGACAATAGGTAGGTTCGGGTAAACTTTTCAACGGTCTTAAAAACAAGGAGGTCTCAATTCAACTGTATTTTTGTGTAAAGGTAAAATGTAAAGTTTTATATAGAACTAGCTGTTCCCCACGACTCGACCGCGTGTTATTTGTGCTATTAATTTTTTTGCGCGGAACCCTAATTTTGGATAGAATTTTGTTAAATAAAACTATGCATACCAATTTTATCGTCTTTAATTTACTTCTTTTAATTTCCGACGTATCGAGTGCTTTACAGCAACCCATGATTAAAAGAGGGGGGGGGGGGCTGAGATGTCTGTTTGTATGATCAAATTTATATGGGACCACATGAGAAGCACTAGCTTTCAAATAAAAAAGAATCATCAAAATCGTTTCACCTAGAAACAAGTTATGAGGTACACATAAAAAACATACAGTCTAATTGGTACCTTCTCCTTTTTGAAGTCGGTTAAAAATGGGTAGACTCTTATTTTAGGACCCTAAGTCGCATAGGTAGCTGAGTCTACAAAGAAATTGTGCAAGGTAGAAAACTTCTGGTAAATTGTACAGCGATAGACCGCCAATCATCCAAATGGAATGGATGTTATCGCGAATTTCGTCACAATGTTCAATAGTGATTTTAGCTGGAATTAGTCCGAACAATTTCTCTGAGCACTCCCTGTGGTAGATGCGATAGAATATACAAAGGAATTAAAAATCTCTTCGCAGAGCCATGGAGTAAGCCGATCAGAAAGAACTCCGTCGTTGACGATTCGAGCCGCATACATTAAAATTTTATCCCTTATTTTTCACCCTTAGGGATGGATCTAGCTCTTCAAATTTACATTTAACATTCGTTAGGCATAGCATAATCATTAAAATTAGTGCAGCCTTTTCTTATTTTATTCTTATTAAAAAAAATACTCGTCGAATATTGAACCTCCTCGTTTTTGAACTCGGTTAAATAGTAAGTTAAATAGAAATATGAAATTCTGGGAGGAAGAATGAAGAAGCAACAAGAGCAGAAAATAAGGAAACCAAGAAGAAAAGAGAGTGGGTCCAGCAGGGGTTTCTTTCGGCCTTCAGCTGTCTTGTAGTCTGTAGGCCGGCGGAAACTACTTGCTGGATACACTTATGACCAGCGAGAAGATGTGAAGATCTGGAGAAGAAGTATTTTAAAGTATCATTAAATTTTTACCCGACTGTCCCAGAAGTAGGGTAGTATTTATCCTCCTTCTGGGGCAGTCTGGTATATGTCTAAGTGTATGTATCTATTTTTACGTGGTAGAGCCGTACTGCCGCTGTTAGTAGAATTGTTGTAGCACGAATGGATCGGCTCGACCGGGGTAGGACCACGCTCTCACAGAATACCAGCGTAAAATAGCAGCTTAATACTGATGTGTTTCGTATGGTGAGTGTAGAGAACCGGCGACCCTTTTTACTGAAAAAGAGGCATTCCATCTTAGTACTCACGGGTGACAACGCATCTGCATTTTGATTCGCAAACGAGGATACATGTAGATATCTATGGCCCGCAGCAACCACTTACCATCAGGTGGACTGTGTGCTCGTTTGTCACGGGTTTTTTAAATTACTGTTTACCTTTGAACTTGTTACGTGGTAGGTATTTTAAAATTTTAGTGGTAGAGCCACGCTGCAGCTATATATGGCTATAGCACGAACGGGTCGGCTTGACCGGGGTATAACCGTGACGACTCCGTGGCGCAGTGGCTTAGCAATGAGTTGTTGCGCTGGGGGCACGGGGTTCGAATCCCGCACGGAACAAGTATTTGTATGGCCTACAAATAATTGTTCCGGGTCTGGATGTTTGTCTTCGTGCAATTTATGTTTATAAACTGCCTCCACGATACAGTAGAAAATCCTAGTGTGGTGGTAACTTTTTTTTTATTAAATGAACCACGCTCTCACATAATACCACCATAAATAGCAGCTTAATGAAGCTGTGTTTCGTATGGTGAGTATAGAGAACCGGAGACCATTTTACTGCAGACGAGGCATTCCATCTTATCCATCCAGTTCAGAGGTGTCAATTGAAAAATAATCATAGCTTATCTATGGGTGACAACGCGTCTGCACTTTGATTTTTAATCAATGATAGATGTACGTAGATGTCTATGGAGTCCAGCCACCACTTATAATCAGGTGGACTGTGTGTCACCATTATCCAATAAAAATATATGACTACCACATAGATTGTCT